AAATATATTGATACATATGTAATATTAAAATTAGTAGTAAAAAATTAAATAAAATATACATATATTGCATTAATATAATTAATACAGCCGTAAAATAATAAATTGTTTATAACAACCACAATTGTTTATAACCCAACATGATATAATATGAAAAATATACAGGATGAGGAAAAAGTACCGGACCGGTGAAATATCTCGAAAAATATGGAAGATACGGAAAACTCTTTCAGCCAAAAATTGTACGATTTTAAAAGGGCTATATACCCTAACAGCACATGATATTCTGAGTATCATCCCATTTTCATACTCATCGTACTGTGATCATCCGTAAAATACTGAGATCAACACTATAATATCTTTTACAGTATCATTCGGTTTCCTTTCGCACGCGTATGATCTCAGGATTGACTCGAGGTACGGAAATGATACGTACGCTTTTGTTACGCGCGCGTATAATCTTGGTAAATACTGAAGATATGGAAACATAATCAGCTCGCGCTGAGTAACAGACACAACACGCCATTGGTAGAAAGAGGTCACGTGACCCCCACCGGATCGCAACAGGCGAGCGTGACGATCGGCGGAGGGGCACGGGGAGAATACTTAAGCCTATCACACAATAGGAAAGCACAGGCAATAGGAACAGGGAATAGAATTTCTGACGCGTTGGATTGGTTGGTAGAAAATTTCCGACGAATCCAACGCGTCAGAAATTCTATTCCCTGTTCCTGTTGCCTGTTGCCTGGCATTGTGTGATGGGCTTTAGGCTTGGAAGTGACGTACGTGTTACCCTGGACGTGGGACACGAGTTTATTTGGCAGAGTAACCCAGGTAGCAATAGTGCCCTGCTTTTACTAGCTTTTGAGCCCGCGCGAAGCCGGGTCTATAAGTTATCGCTTTAAGGTTGCCTTTACTGTTGTCTTATTATTTTAGGTTATATTGAAACATTTGCTGTACATTATTGTATGTTCTCTGGAAGTTGGTTTTTATGGAAGCATTCGCTTCCATAAAACTGTGAGAACAGTGTGGAGTACTGTGGAGAACTGTGAACTGTTCAGTTATTTCGAGACACTTCTGGCAGAGGACGAGGAATGTCGGCAGTGCTTTCGACAATTTTGCAGCTTGTGCACGACCCTTTTAGTGCCGATGGAGGGTATTGTCGGCGACAGTGCCAAAAGTATACAAAGTATCGTCGACCGCGACACGAACTTTGCGCGGAAGTACGGATACGCGAGAGGTCTTCGATGGAATGCGATCAGCGCCGTGGAGATATTCGAGCCTGTGCTCGCTTACTGGGAAAAGCGCGTGGACACCGACAAGAGCACGCTCGAGCGTTTGCTCGACACTGGCGTCTTGCTGGAACTAATGAATTTGTTTGTACACATGAACAGAGATGAATTTTACTCCACGCACGTGTCGGTCAAGTGCAAGTCGTGCCTGGGCAAACTCTGTACAGTTAAGAGGGACTTGTACAACGCCGTGGTGATAAAATGCAGATTCGTCAGTCTGGTATGTAAGTTTTCCGTTAAAACTCTACTGGCGAAAGCGTGCGCTGTTACTAGGAAAATTATGAAGCGGAATGTCGAGTGGATCATTCGTGAAACGAAGGAATCCGAATGTAAGCGTTGGAGACAATCGTGGAACACGTGTCGCAATTTAACTTACAACGTAGGCGTACTGTCTGAACACGTGTACGAGGAAAGCGTGTGTTTATCGTTTGTTCACCTTCTTGTGCAGTTGCATCTCTCGATTCGACGGAGTCGAACCGAGCCCTACAGATTCTGAGAGCTTCAGGAATCTTGATAATATTATCTCTTTCGTGCTGGACAGATTGAGCGTTGTATATTACAGCAATAATTTGTATAGGAAAGCTGCGACTGTGTGCGCATTGAATGCCTTGTTAACGTATAACCAGTCAAACACAAAAGCTTAGCGCAGATGGGTGCACATTAAGAAAATTACGCCCAAAGAAGTCGCAAGCTTAGCTACGTTGGACCGCTTGACCAGTGATGAAGATGAGATAAAGAGCGAATTGGGACTTTCAATAGAAAGTATCTCTAAGTACGACGTTACCGCGTTGTGTCTGCGTGAAGTCAACAGTTTACTGGAGGTACAGGTCGCATTTGCGAACGGCGCGGCGGCGTGGCAGCGGTTCTGGAAAAATTGAGGAATTGTGTATTGTAACACAAAATTTTTCAATAATTGAAACACCATTGCAACAGCATATTCCTGAGACTAAATCAAGTAAAAAAGTCCTGTACTATTTTTCCCTCCGACAAACAGTTATCGAGAGATTATAAGGTAAACATTGAAAAAGTTATAAATTTTCTCTTGAGTATCTCAAAAAGTATTAGGCAATTAAAAAAATTTTCAGACAATAGTTGTTCATATTAATTAGTAGAATAAGATAGTATAATAAACAATAGAGATTTCCATTTTAAAAAATGACGGCGACCTCTATATGATCATAAAAAATTAATTTTTTTGAAAATTTATTTTACCATTATGTAGCCCTTTTAAAACCGTATAACTTTTGTCTGAAAGACTTTTCCGTATCTCCCATATTTGTCGAGATCATGGACCTAAGAATCTCTGGACTGAGCACGAAGTGGGAGGACGGGCAAGGGGGCTGTTAAATTTGCGGTAAGGGGGGCGAGAGTGCTCTCCTTTTCTGTCCTCTTGATATCTCTTTCTACAAGAGGTCACATTCGGCTTGATGACGAATGTAACCGAAGATAGTCGAAGTTTGTGTATAGTCTATACATAATAATTTCTCGACGGGAACATGGACGTAAGAATCTCTGGACTTCAGAAGTTAGCGAGTATAGACTTGTCTAGTCTTCCGGGAATCATCGGATATACGGCGGAAATACCCGACGGTGACCTCTTGTAGAAAGAGACAGTACTATCCTCCCCTTACCGCGAATTTAACAGCCCCCTCGCCGTATGCTCGGTCCAGAGATTCTTAGGTCCATGGTCGAGATATTTCACCGGTCCGGTACTTTTTCCCTTTTTCCATCGCGTGTACAAAGATAGAAAGAGAAACTAAGACGCTCGAAGAAATGCGTGAAACAAAGACGATAGATGCAGCATACCCAATTTGCCAATGCTAAATGTTTTTTACTTTTCACGGTTGATAGCCCTGGGAATCTATAGCCGTCGCAAAGCAAAAGTAGGCGTGGTTTAGCCGAACTGAGCACACCATGTTTATCCCTTCCACCATGATCTAAATGCACGTTCTGAAACTCACTAAAAACACCGTGTAGCAGCCAGTCTGTAAAAATAAAAATGGCAGACCAATCAGAGTAGAGAACACTATTCGCTCCCCTCTACCTTAAACTATAGCCTCTACCTTAAACCATGTACCTACCATTAGCATGCTAGTAGTCGAGCTGCGTGGAGTATAAAGGTGCCTTTTCATACGCAGCATGTAGCAGCAGCAAATTAGTCACGTGATCCAAATTCACTAAAGCATATTTGCTGCTCATGGAAAAGGAATAGCTGCAGCAGCACTGTCCGGCTAGATCGCGTGTCTGCTGCTTTGCTGTTCGTTCAATTGAACTTCACAGCGATGAAGCAAAATATGGTGAAATTTATTTTGCAGCATCTAGTAACAATTCTTCAACCAATAGCAGCGAGTTGCTGCGGCAGTATGCTGCGCATGAAATGGTACCTTAACACTGTACTCTTCGACAAGGACTTTACTATACCTACCTATTTATAACCGAGGTGAGTTGTATGTAAAAATAATTATTAAAGCAAGGTAAATATTTATTTCTTAGTTAAGTACCACCATAAAGCGTCATATATTGAATTTGTACACTGAATGTTACCATTCAGACGCCGTACAACAGTTCGTCATGAGTCGCAATTAATGTATTTTAGCGTTGTGTGAAAAACTTTATCCAGTAGTAATAATAATAATAATAATAAATGCAATCGTGAAGTTCGAAAGTTACAGTATTATCAGTATTGTAATTACATGAGGTGTACCACTTTGAAGTTGTAAAGCCAACCGTTGCAACCGCCACGTGGCACGCCACGCGTAATGGTAATACTGCATGGTGATACCGTAAATTTCAAGCCCCATAACTCCGTAAGTATTTAACGAAGATATAGTTTCACATGTTTTATCACTAAACTTTTAACTTCTTCTTATCGTGTATTAGGCTTAAAGACCCATACAGCACAGATGGTTGCAGTTACATTGCAGAAACGTTGCAATCTTGCAGATTGCAGTGCAATCTTGCAAAGACATTGCAGGGATATAAAATTGCAAACTTTCGATGGCAATATTGCAGCAATGTTTCTACAATTTATTTAGAAATAGTATTTTCATTATTTTTGAAACATTGCTGCAATATTATGGCTACATTGTTACATTGCAATATTGCTGTAGTCTTGCATTTTCATATTGCTGCGTAGTTGCATTGCAATATTGCTGCACTGTTGCATTGAAATATTGCTGAAGGCGGACATTCTAATGTTACTGCAATGTAGCTACAATATTGCAGCAACATTTCGCAATTTTGCTGCAATGATGCAATCTTTCAAAACAATGTCTCTGCAACGTTGCTGCAATATTTCCGTGCTGTATGGGGACTCTTTTATTCAGTTCGTTCATACCCAGATAGCACCGAATGTTCCATGAATGTTTGTATATGATTCGAATGTTCTCTCTCAGGAATATTCGAATCATATACAAACATTCATGGAACATTCGATGCTATCTGGGAAGTTGGAGGGGATGATCCGTTCGGCCACGCGCGCGCGCACGCTCGCACACAAGCAACGCGCCGTATATACGTGTGCACACGTTTTGGAAATATCAACCGAATATTACCGAATCTTACCGGAAAGAGTCGATGTCAGATGAGTGATCCCCTTGCCGCGATTATCAGTTACCCCTCGTACAAAGGCTCCGTCTATAGATGTCTATGGTGTAAACTATATATTAGTGTACCATGAAGAATAGAGATATTCTTCATGATTTATCCCCTCCCGACTTCTCCCAAGTAGCACATATACGTTTCAAAAACGTTTTAGAAGCGTTTTTCCGAAACGTTTTATAACCGATTTTTAGAAACGTTTCTCATGGG